GTTGCATAATAATTAAGAATATTTTATTTGCCATTAATAGCCTTCATTTAAGATGATATAAATGAATGTTGTGAGAAAAGATGAATAGTGAATACGAAGAGACGTAGTGTATTTATTAATTAGATATTGGTAATAATGGAAAACTATGTACAAAAGATCCAAGACGATATTTATTTAGTCAATTGTTGATAAAGCTAAAATAACATCTAAAAAAAATAAAAAATAGGAAATAGTATTAGAATTCGAGTTAAATAAATGTCGAATCAATTTAATTTTGAACGTCATCAATTTTCCTTCCTATTTAACAAATAAATGTAGAGAAGTGTAGTCTCTTGTAGTCTATGTGTAGTGTAGACATGAAATTTTAATAATAGACTATGAAATTTAAAAATTTGATAGATCTACATGTGATATGATTTTTAATGCAAATAAATAATTAAAGTTAAAAGAAAAAATAATAAAAAAAACAATAGACGCATGTAGACATGTTCACGGGCCGAACCAACTCGTGAACCAGCCCGTAAACTGGTCTAGAACCGGCCTTTTAAGGGCTGGTGCATTGAACCGGACCCTAATTAGAGTCGCGCGCGGTTGGGTCCCGGTTCATAAACTTTGAGTTTTGACCCGCCGGTTCGGACCGGGCCACGGGTCACAGTGTTCTTTTTCTTTTAGGACCATACCGGCCCGGAACTGTTCGAGACCCGCCGAGCCGGTGAACCAGCGGTTCTGGGCCAATTCATATTTAGGGCCGGTCACATGCCATAATATTGAGGCTTGCCGACCCGGCGGGCCAGGCCGGGCCGGGTTGGTCACCTCTAGACGAAGGGAATATTTTATGGGGAGATGCAAATGTTGAGGCAGTGGGAGAAGGTTGTTGACCTAAACCCAATCGCTGTCGGTTTCGTAAGCAGTGACGTGGACTTTGACTTTGTGTAACTCATTTTCACGTGCTGTCGTCTGTCGATGTTCCATTATATTTATATGTGTCCCCACATTACTTTTTTTCTGCTGACTTCATGCTTACTCTTCATTGACGTCATTATCGGGAGGCACTGGTCATTTGTGGTTAATATTCTTGTGTGTATTTTAGGAAATGAGACATGAAAGAAGGAAAACAACGAAAGAAAAATGAAATATGAAAAACGAGTATTAATCAACCAAATAAAATATGAAAAAACGAATAGCGAGAAAAACGAATCGGAATGAAACAATTTTTCGTCCCTATTCGTTTTTCATATTTTATTTGTTTGAGAAAAGAAGGTTTATATCAAGAAGGTTTAAATACTTGTATAAACCTTTTTTT